CCTACCAGGTTGCTTCTAGGGAAAAAAGGCAGCTTACAAAATTTTCCACCTGCTCTCAATTTTTGTTTACACCCCCGTGAAGTAGGTTGGGCTGAGAGTGTGTGACTGGCCCAGAATCAACCACTTTGTTCCACAGCAGAGTAGGGACAAGAAACAGAATGCCTGAGCCCTTTCTAGCATTCCTAACCACATTGTGGCAAGAGAATTAGCAACTGTATAATTTTCCAGCAAAGTGGAAAAAAGCTAGGGTGCAGATCAGCAGCCTCGAGCTCTACTCCTACTGTCGATTGGATCATTGAGTTATATTTCTCTTTTCCTTTCACCACATCACAGTCTTTCTTAACATCCCAAGCCCCAAGGCTAGGAATGACAATCTAATAATCAAGAATGGCAGGCAGACCAGCGGGGAAATTATTTTCCCTTGAATGCAAAATTCGTTGTGAACCACGTAGGGAGCCCAGTAGGCTATTAAAGTGCTCGGTAAGACCAGTGAATAATGACTAAAATAATTAAATCTGTTGCCCCACTCGAAAGGAGAAGAGGGGTGGACTCTTCATTTACAGGTTCTGGGTCCTTCTCTGTCCTCACTGCTCCCCCAAAAGTTCATCTGGGCAAAATGGGTTGAGATGCTGCCATTCCAACAGATGCTGCCTCCCGATAAGCCCCCAACAATACCTGTCAAATTGCTGGGGTACACCTTCTCAATTTCATCCCTATTAATAACAGGGCAGGGCAGGGCATGGCAGGGAAAGTGAAAAAAACAGTGTCTTGGCACAGTTGACATGGTAGATCAGTCCGTTTCAGAGCAGTTTGTTGAGCAATTTCTTAGCGTGAGCTATAGAACTTGCTCCTTCCACATGACTGGATGCTAGTTTGGCAAAATGTGATTCACTCCAATTTAACAAAGGGGCTACAACTGTAGCCCCATAGTGGAAAGAGCTAAGTAGCAACATCATGTGATTGGTTTAGTAAATGGAAGAGTATTTTTAGTATTACTAAAGAAATAATTTAGTATTGCAAGTTCTGATTTGCAAGAGTGTTGTTGCTCCCCCTCCCCTCCCCTATTTTCCCATTTTTGGAATAGGTCCGTCCTCTTTCTGTGTGTACTGAG